AAGGAACTAGTCCGGTAATGTAGCGTCGTACCCGAACCCGACTCTCGGGACCCGTGCGTGCCTCATTTGTGCAGCTTGAGTGGCGGCGGTGGCTCTGAGTTTGCTTCCATCTTGCTGAAAAGCCGGTTGGATTACTGTTTTTTGGTGTCTCAAGATATCAGACGATCGGGCCGGGATCTCGAACAGACAGTCCTGGGACAAACCCAGTACGGAGGGGCTCCCCGGTACACGAGCTCCGATGGCAGCTTCGTTTTGTTTCCGCCCGAGGCTACGGGTCACAGCTAACGGAACAGACGCGCGCGTCCAGACGTGGTCGAATGACTGGAGAGAAAATGCTGTTGCCTGCGATATGCTGGGACTTTGGCATTTCTCGATTGTGAGGGGCCACTCACCGCCAAGAGTGGTTGTCAATACGATTATCCAACAATGGATTATACCAAAAGTGTCAGCGTGCGTATTTGACGTGGTAGCCAATTGTTTCTGCTGACCAGGGACCAGAACTCATTCTTTCGGGTAGCGCGTGCATGGCATGGCTGACAGGTGATGCCCGACCATGTCGTCTCACGTCATGACCATCGGAAACAGTACACAGCCACCGACACTGCTCGAGCAAGAGGATCTTGCAGACGTCTTGCCGCGACAGGCGGAAAGTCGGCGCGCCCGTTGGCCGGCGGGACTTTAGACTTCGCGACCACACGTACGATGTCGATCCCATCTTCGGCGCGCGGACATCATTGCAGGCTCGGCGCTGCCAGAGCCACTACATATAAGCCGATGACGCTGCAGGAAGCCGAAATGCCCTACAACACGTCAGAATACTCCTAAAGGAATGCATTTCCATCAGCGGCCGTGAGTGCTTTCATACACGTGCCGAATGATCAGCATAATCATTCGACGAAGAGAATTCGACAACGAGTTCTCGACAAGAACACACACAAGATGATGAACAACAAATGTCGTTCACGGACGGAGACTTGTTTGAAGGTCGATGCGCGACGGTTACAGAAGCTTGGCGACAGCAATATCAGATGAAGACCGCCAAGGCGCTGCATGCAGGTTGTTTCAGCACAGAGCGAGGCGAGTGTCAATAGGTGCGCTTGAGGCGCAGCTCGAAATCGATTTTGCGTGACAGCAGAAACGTAGGATTCTGCATGCTTGATGTTTGAAGAAACAATCCAAAATTTACACACCAGAGCTGCCAGCTCTAGAAACGCCGTCATCCATCTCCGCCGTTGAGTTGGTCCAGTGTCGGAACTGCCTTGCCGATAGCCGCGACTCAAACATGCGATCAATCTCTGCTGGTGTTCGTCCCTTCATCTCCGGAATGCAGAGGAAGGAAATGACAAGCCCGAGGGCACACAGTCCCGCGTACACGAAACCGGTCTTGGCTTTTAGGTTGCCTTTGTCGGGGTTGAAAATATACGGCAGCACGAACCCGAAGATGGAATTATTCGCACCGGCCGTGAACCAGCCGATACCTTGGGCTTTGGAACGCAGATGTAGCGCTGAGGTCTCGGCACCGATAACATGCGAAGCAGGCCAGACACCTAGCCCGGCAACAATAACAACCACTATCAACGAGATAGAAGTGTACCTAGGGCACGTGGTCAGTCTATGTATTCAAACCCCCACACCTTTCTTGGGAGAACTTACCAAACGGTTACAGGGCCCGACCAACAGCCGGAGATGCCCATGGCGGTCCATACGACTGTCAAGAGAGACAGCGTGCTTAAGATGAGGCGTCTGCGTCCCACCTTTGAGAGGACCCAAACACTGGCGATGTTCGCGATCAAGCCGCAAACGAGCCCTAGAATAAGGACGATCACGCTCAGGTTGGCCTTCATGCCAACTACTTGCACGAAGTAACTGGACTTCGATAGCAGGGTCAAGCCGAAGATGTTCGGCAGAGAGTTGGCAAACATGATGATCAGGGTCCGTCGAAGGTTCACCCCGCGGAACGAGTCGACATATGTTGCATTGGTCTGCCGGCGTTCATGCTCGATGTTCTGACGGATGGCATCCAATGTCTTCTCTGGGTCCATTCCCGGTGTGTCCAATTTCTTCTGAGCCTTGTAGGCCTTTTCATCCAGATTTCTGCGAATGAGGTAGGTCGGGCTCTCTGGGATAATGAAAGCCATCAACAGGGGGATGACCGAGAACGGCCATTGCGATGCGAAGCAAATGGTGTAGCCGTTAGCCAGATTGAGGCATGCAAAAATGACTGCTGCCCCAATCAATTGCCCGAGCAAAGTGAAGATGGGAAAGAAGGCAAGAAGCGGCCCTCGCAGGTTCGGTGGGAGAATCTCGGACATGTAGGTCGACGAAGTTCCCATTACCATGCCAATGGCTCCACCCTGGAATCCCTTGCCCGCAAGGAAGATAACGCGCCGTTCATTAATGTCGGGAGACAAGTTGGAAACGAAACAAATGGCAACGCCGACTGCCGACAGAAATGAGCCGACTGCAAGTGACGGGCGGCGACCGAACTTGTCTTGGAAGATACCACCAACCAAGGCCCCAATCATGGAGCAGCCCGGGCTGACGAAGTTCCAGAGACCAAGCCATAGAGACGGAAGAATCATCTTGCCGTCGAGCCTTTGGCCAAAGTCCCGCCTTCAAGATTCTCGTTAGCCATCGTGTGCAGTGAGTAGCCATGGGAGAGGAGGGGCCGCACTGAAAGCTGGGCATGGCGGATACGGTGCCAACGATGACATAGTCGTAGCCATACAGCAGAATGGCAGATGTCATGCCTATGCAGTAAAAGACGACGCGACGCCACTTCTTGATGGATTGCCACAGCGTGAGGTGGCCGTACTGGTTCGTCTCCGGCTCCGAGGTGCTGGCTATGCTGTGTACGGTCTCGAACCGGCCGGCGTTCACGGACTTGTCGCCCATGCTGTTTGGGACCGCCATGGCATTTCTCTCGATGGGACAAAGAACAAGGCGAAAATCGGTGATGCTGGGGGTTTGTCGACAAAGACCGGAGATGGTAATTGCGTGGAAAGTCGCTTGGCGATGCTGAGGGGGTGTGCTTGATTGAAGAAGTAGGCGTCTAGAACGGCGGGCGAGGAAACGAAAGCATTTTGACCCAAGATGATGGCATAGGGTTTGCGCCATCAAATGTAGCTCAACATCTCCGGGCTGGACATGCTAACCCGCTTCCAGATCTTGGCGATGCCCCTTGGTGGAATCCGCATATCCCCAAGACAATTTGGGGTTGCACTGCACGAGCGCCAAGAGGCTGTATTAGCCAAAGTGAGGTTGTGGCTGGCAAACTCCCATCAGGGACCCTGGAGATTGACCAATGATCATCGGGTGACTTGGTCGAGATGCTACACGTCGATATGTCGGCCGAGAGAAAGGCTACAGTGTTCGCCTGCGACATGCAGAAGTGGCCGTTTGAAAATAGAACCATCTGCACGAACCCAGGAAAGCTACCCTGACCTGGAGGGCACAAAGGCCGTCCTTAACATCTTCGCAGGTGAGACATTCGCATTCGATTGCGTACCAAGGCTGTAGTCTGAGGAGACAAGTACAACGCGATTGAGGAATGCTGTGCTAATCTGCCCACGATGCGACATGGTAGAGAAGCTTTGCGCCAAGCAAATAGGGTCGCCCAGGCTCTCCTCGTGGCTTATGAGCTTTGTCTCTCGCGGGAAAGTTCAAGGCGGAAGACGGCGTCCGGGATACTGGATCTGAATTCCTGGTGGTGATGCTGAATTGACTTGTGCACCCAGGAAGAGGAGCCCGCGAATACGCTTCAGAAGCTATGTTCGTTCTCTGGCGGATGATATCGCAGCTTGCTGGTGCCGTGCGACAACTTCTCCCTCCTCAGTGCTCCCGTGTTGCGTCAAGCGGCCAGCGCTGGAGTCTCACCGAGTGTTACTCTGAGCAGGGGTGACGGTGTCCGTTTGTCTATGGGTGCAGAGACAGTATTCTCCATCAGGACCGTTGCAGTTCTGCGCCAATGTGCTTCATCGATATTTACCCCGTAGAGAGCAGGCAATTGCGGCAATGCTCATCTTGCCCGGTTCAGGAAGGGATCGAGAGGATTTCTGTGATCCCTGCCGCAGCTCCCGTACCTTACGGCCGATAAACTGGATGGACAGCCATTTGAACGGGGGGATCTGCACGTGGGCGCGGTGCCGTATGCAGAGATGCGGGGAATGAGTCTCGGCGCTGTTGAAGGTGCGATGAATTGTCGATGAGGAAGATGGCCGAACGGGGGATCTTTCCGGGCCCGTCGCTGGCGGCATTCCCGCGTCGAAGGCCGGCTGCAATTGTGCAGGTAGGTAGTCAGGGGCGGCGGGGTCCATCTGGCGAGATGCGAGTGGCTGTCTGGAGGCTTGGAAGCATGCAGCTGAGGTGCATTTTTCACGTCAAAATGTTCGTGTTGATGGAAATCGGCAGAGAAAGTCGACGCGCCAAGGTGCAGAGGAAAAAGCAAACATTGGTTTTGCAGCCAGGGGCGTGACAAATGTTTGCTTTGCTGTGCCTTCCCACTTTCCCCGGGAAGGGGCGACTCACGCTCTCTCGTTCTTTCCCCTTATCATCCAAAATTGCAGGAGGAAGGAGGTGCAGCGTCTGGGCCGATCGCTCCTGCTTCCTAAAGACGGGAAGCTCTTTCTGTCTCTGAACGAGGGAAAGAAGGAAGCAGCGATGCCATCTTCACGTGTTTACAGGGTGCTCCTGCTTGAGATTGAGAAGGTGCATTTCTTCCTGCGTACTTTCCTTCTCGTGCTTCTGAACTGGCATGGTCCAAGCTCTAAGAGCACAGGCCATTAGATCTCGCTTAGGCATAGAATAGTGGATCCCCCTAGCGGGTCCAATCATTGACATCACCACTGTCGCTGCACTGAGGCTGAAGCTGGGTTTTCCTCGACTCTTGATGTTTGCCCCTGAATATCCATGCAGCTTTGAATTCACTCGCGACGCCGCCAGTGAGACCTGATTTCTCCATCCATATTGTTTGTTACATGATCCGTGCCAGTATAGTAAGAATGGCGAGAGCAACACGGTCCAGCACGCGCCTGGCTGCAGCCGCAAACCCAGCCGAGAAATCCGAGTCCACAGCACAGCAATCAGCACCAGCGTCTAAGAGAAAGCGTGCATCACCAAAGTCGGCAAATGCAACTCCGTCCAAGAAAGTAAAGAAGGAAGAAGATGTGCCCACATCTCTGTCTGATGTCCCGCCAACGACGCCTCTCAAGAAGGAAGACGTCAAGTCTGAAAGCCCAGAGAAGAAGCTGAAAGCCGCCAAGTCGCCGAACGACCTGCAGTCCAAGAAGCTCAAGGCATACTCACAGTATGCCGATAAGTCGCCCTTCCCGGATTTCCCACACCCGACCCCGGACGAGTGCCGGCTGGCCCACCGCATCCTCGCCGACCTCCACGGGAAACGGGAGCGCCCCAAGGAGGTCAAGGCCTCCACAACCCGGGCCGGATGTGGAGACTCGCCCTCCGTCCTCGACGCCCTCGTCCGGACCATCCTCAGCCAGAACACCAGCGACACCAACTCCACGCGAGCCAAGCGCAGCATGGACGACGTCTACGGCGGCAGCGACGAGTGGGACAAGATCGTCGAGGGCGGCATCCCCAAGCTGCAGGAGGCCATCAAGTGCGGCGGCCTCAGCGCTGTCAAGAGCAAGGTCATCATCAGCATCCTCAACCAGGTCAAAGAGAAGTACGGCAAGTACTCGCTCGACCATCTCTTCAGCGCCAGCAACGAGGACGCCATGCAGGAGCTCATCAGCTTCCAGGGCGTGGGCCCCAAGACGGCGAGCTGCGTGCTGCTCTTCTGCCTCCAGCGGGAGTCGTTTGCTGTCGACACCCACGTGTGGAGGATCACGGGTCTCTTGGGATGGCGGCCGAAGAGCGCGTCGAGGGATGAGACGCATGCGCACTTGGACGTGAGGATTCCGGACGAGGACAAGTATGGTCTGCACATTCTGCTTGTTAAACATGGCAAGGTGTGCAGTGAATGTAAAGCTGGTGGGAAAAGCATCGGTAAATGTGAGTTGAGGAAGGCATTTAGACAGGAAAAGGTGAAACAAGAGGAGACAGCATGAGCCCCAAATCACCTCAGACAGTGTGTTTCCAGAACACAAAGAATGCGCAAGAACTTTTGCGCAATTCAATATCAGCTACGAAATCTTTTAATAGTTAATCACTTGTACTATGGTGAGCGAGCGACGATGTCACAGGCGTCCTCCTGAACCCGAGCAAGGAGGGCTTCGAACGAGTTGTTCGCAGATGTTCAACTCTCCTCTCCGGGAGCTCCTCGTCTGAGATACCTCATCCAATTGGGGTCCCGATGATCTACACATTGCACTGAACGCCCGCAAGGATTCCTCCACTTCCGCTTCCATCCAGTTGGCCGTGAGAGGACTGGCATGAGGTAATCTGGCCAGTACCATTCTAAGTCGGGCTGATCGTTGCTCGGGTCGGGCGTGTAGACATGTCGGGTGAATAGTTCCTCCACCGCAGCACTAGGAAATGGTTCCATATCGTCCAAGTGGCTCTGCGACCTCGCGTCGAATTCCAGCATCTCCCTATCTTGGTGCCGGGCTACCTTCACCCAAGCGTCATGGACGCGATGATCAAGCTGTGCCTGTCCAGTGGTTTCGTACAAAGCAGTGGCGAAACCTGCATTGGTGGAGTATTGAAAGTGCGCTTCCAACGGCCGTCGCTCATGGGCATGTGAACCAGGTTTCGAGTCTCCCCACAAATCCAATGACTCCAGCAAAGGCATCCTCTCTGCAGCGCTGGCAACAAGCTGGAGCATCTCGGTCGGATTTTCGGCTAGGGGAATACGACCCCAGGTCAAACGCCGCAGACGGGGCCAAGTCAAAGGGGCGTGGCCATCCATACCTCTGCAAAATGTCAGAAAGGAATTTTTGCCATAGTACCATATCGCGTAATCGACGTGAAACTCCTCCAGCCGCTCCGATAGTTCGGCCCATGCTAAGTCATCCCAATCTTGAGGAGGGCGGATGTCCCGAAGAATGAGATGAGTGAGTCCCACCGGAAAGGGTCTCACGCCATGTAGAAGACCCGCCGATGACATGTACATCCAAGCATATCGTTCGCCGCCGTACGACAACTCCTTCATGTTTGGAGACATAGTTGCAAGTAGCTGATTGAGCAACTCGCAGTCTGACTCAAAGCTACGATTGCAGGACCATCTGCTGTTCGTGTTCATTTTGAGGCGGAGAGCGCGCACGCAGTCGACCTGCCGCTTATTGTCTCTCGACAAGAGCTCGCTGCCATACTCGACCAGATGATGTCCGCAGGCGACGACGTCGTTTACCTCCAGGTCAAAAGAGGCCTCTCGTCCCCAATCTCGTAGCACATCCACAAATCCGTCAATCATATCAACAAAGCCCGTGCCAAGTTTTATTCGCCGCAGATGAACATCGGAGATAGTCGTAATTGAAAAAAGATCCAGTTCAACGATGAGACGTAGTTTCTTCAAAAACTTGAGCCGAGGTCCGCGGATGATTCTGGCCAGCTTCTCCGGGGTATGGCTCCCCGACAAAATACTGGCGTTTGTGACGTAAAACGTCACTTCCTCAAAGATGAAGGGTTCCATGATCGCTTGCCACTGTCGGCAGGTACTTCCGTAGGGTGCGCGGTTTCCCTTGTCGTGGGTCAAATAGCTCAGGATCTGAAGCCTGAGCTCGTCTGGAAGATCGTCCCAAGCTGTCATTGCGATACCGGTATTGTAAACTTTGACAACGTCGATGTCAAGAAAGAAGAAGGTGATGTAGAGAGTCGGAATAACAAAATACTCCAAATTTTGATGTGTGCAGTAGTGTGTGGGATTGGATCAAACTAAGATGCTGGGACTGAAATATTTTGCCCCTTTTATCATTTTCGCGAATCGGTCTCCGACGCTACATGCTGCATTTGGATTTGACATTCTGGACCGTGACTCAACGCGCCACCCTTTCTAACAGTACAGCCTTCAATGTCAAATAATGACAGCCATCCTCAAGGTCCTACTTATTTCGTCTGGCTATATTTGCATAGGTGCAGATGGGAGTTGAGAATTACGAAGATGAGTCACAAAGGAATTCCACTATGACTTTGCAGATAAGATTCAAAGAAAGCGTACGCACCTTTGCGTTCCAGTAGCCAGCGCCCATACAACGGTACAAGCTTGGACAAACCCGTATATGAACTTCTCCCGTCTTGGAACTCAAGCCTCAAGGTCAATAAGATTGTTTTGTGTAATGATGACCAGTCATTGACCTAAGCCATACTGGAGTCTGACGCGTCAGACACCCGGACGGTCAACGTGTGGGGTTTGGTAACCCTTCTCGTTCATCGTGGATGAGCGAATACCCTTCGGGCTTTGGAAAATGACAGTGGCTTCCTGACACAGTGCCTGCTGCAGAGCCTGTCTTTGATAAGGCCTGAGATTTGCAATGCCAAGAGGCTTATCCTTCTCTCAGAAGCCCTGTAGATGACGCATGCAATATCAAAGCGGAATGCAGTCCAGCCCATCAAGATTCTACTCCCCCATAAGAACTCAATCCACGCCCATCGTCAATCAGGAATCACTGTAGGGTCGGGGCGAGTTGGCGCAGTCTTCATCTGTTAATTTCCCATGACCACCGGGCCAACACAGTGTGTGGTCTTGTTGATGATGGTTTCTTCTAACTGACCCAAACGATAATTACATACTAACAACTTGTTGAGCGACGACACCATGTACTCTGTGCTTCTTCAAGTCCAATGGATCATAGTCACTAAAAGGATCCACATGCTTCGTCGCATCTTTAGGCCGATCGAAGTCGTACTCCAGCTCCTTCTTCTTGTACCCGCGTTTCTTCGCCTGAAGATACTCATTCGTCTTGAACACCTCGGTCTCCTGACTCTTGTCCAAGCCAAGTTTCTGCAGGTACGGCGACTCTGCGATGGGCACCAGGAGTTTGTCGTCATTGGGCCGGGTGAAGAAGAGAATCCCAATGCGCAGCTTTTGCCGCTGGTCCACAGGCGGGGTCACAACTCGGTGTATGGTTGCTTTGAAGAGACGGCCAGTGAGGAATTCAAGCGCTTCACCGACGTTGACGATGAGGGTGTGCGGGATGTACTGTGTCGTTTTCAGTCAGCTTCAGTGGATATTCGTCCAAACTCCGAATGACTTACTCGGACCCATTTCCACTGATTTTGATTATCCAAGATTTGAAGAGCAGAGATGGGCTGAGAGAACAGGATGGAAAAAGTGCTCCAATCAGCATGGCCTGGCAAGAACAGGTCGCGGGACTTTTCTCGGTCGGCATCGTTGCGCGGCGAGTAGCTCATCTGAATGTAATTCAACGTCAGAAGGGACCTTATGTGAAATAGTTGTCGGGGGAATAGCTAACATATCGGAAGTAATTCGTCGTCGAGCCACCCGGTCGATGCATGTCGAGCACAAGTTGCTCAGGAACCTCTAAGACCATGGCCACGAGAATAAGTAGTTTGCGATGAATGTCATCATTCAAAGTTTGCATCAGATGCCGGATCTCTTCCTTGAAGGGGGAGATGATTTGCGGATGTGGGCGAGTTTCGAAGTCGTGGAGAAGCATGTTGTAATGGTCGACCTGGGATAAGATCAGTTTTGGAAAACTCTCGTTTCAAGCCTTAACAGGAACGGAAAACTTGTACCTCTTTGTGGAAGCCACCTTTGGTTCCAAGTTCTCCAGAGGGCTTGAAACCAACGTAGATGCCTTTCTGATCTTCCTCGGGAGTGCCTTTGTCCTAGATTAGCTTTGCCAGGATGAACAAAGTTGGTCTTTTGGGGGTAGGCGCACCTTCGTAAGGCCTCTTGTCTTCATTGCTCAGGGTCATCACCGCATTCGCGACATCCATCTGGTGATCCCAGAGCTCAGTGGAAATGCCATGGTTCGAAATGGTGAAGAATCCATGCTGGGTGACGGCCTGGAGCAAGTCCTTGGCTAGCTCCTTCCTGGTCTCTAGATGTTCGAACTTGCTGAGGTCGAGATCGATAAGCTCAACAAAGTCCACTGCACCAGTTAGCTGACTCTACGCAGTCGTGAGCGGATTCAAGGAAAGATACAGTCAAAGTATAACGATAACTATTGAGTTAGGACAAATTATTTTGCGCCAAAATGGAGCTTCGACCAGGCTACCATCAGCCAACAACGACAACTTACAGTTCTCTTTTGTAGGCTCAGGGGCGTTCCATCTGGGAATGGCTGCAGACTCATTGGAGGTAGGCATGATGGTGGTCATTGAAGTTGATAAGATAAGACTAGTGCTCAATTGAAGTAATGGTGCACATTGTGGATTTCCAGATTCTCTACTCAGCTTTGATTGATCTTATAAGACAGCTATCATTCGGCCAACATTCATAGATGCCGAAGGCTGAATGACAATCAGATACCATCTGGGATGAATGCGGGGGTGGAGGCGGAGGCGGAGGCGGCGGCGGAGTTGTCCGGGGGAGGAGATGGACGTGTCCGTGGGGGTGGAGGCGGAGTGCTCGTTAAAGATAGCCGCATACATAGAGACAGAATCTTATACGAGTACTCGGATTCGGATTCGGTGTTCTTCGATAGGCCAGATGGGAAACGATTGCCGCTTCACTGATAAGTTGGTAGCCCGTATCTCATCAACATCAAAAGTACCCAGAATGCAGATATTCCCGGCTGCACAGCTTATCGCACACCGAACTCCAGCGGTTTAAATCAGCCGATATGCCAGCAACACACATGTTAGAGGATGTATTGATAATAAAGCTCCCAGTACCTCGCAATCATCGTGGAGTTCTTAAGCAGGGACAGCAGCTTGACAACAGACCGCATTCCGTCCATTCCTCACCTTTCTTGACCATCGATAGTCCTCTTTCTCAGAATTATTTCAAGAGACTAGCTACGTCTCAGTGATACTCGAGTCAATATGGCGCCCAAGACGGAAGCAGATGTTTTGCCCGTCAAAAGAGATAGCGAAGCTCCTGACATTGACGTCGGTCAAGTGAAGCTGATGGACGACACGGATGTTGATCCAGCTTTGAAACTCACTGGCGGCGTCGTGATCGAGTTCACACCAGAGGAAGAACGCCAAACCCTGCGAAAGATCGACATTAATATGCTGCCACTTATGTGTTGGGTGTACATGATTCAATTCGCCGACAAGACGACGCTCAATTATGCTTCTCTCATGGGGATTCGTGAAGACACCAACCTCAAGGGAAACGAGTTCTCCTGGATCTCAAGTATTTTCTATGCAGGTTATCTTGCTTGGGAGTATGATGTCCTCCCCCCTCTCTCTATCTTGACCCGCTCAGTGATAGGTACTTGTGCTGATTGTTGTATCTGTCATGAAGGTTCCCCACGACGTACCTCTTTCGCCGCCTTCCCGTGGGCAAATATGTATCAGCCAACATATTGGCTTGGGGCATCGCCTTGACATGCCATGCCGCTACGCATAATTACGCTGGCTTACTGGCCACGCGATTCTTCCTCGGAGCATTCGAAGCAACAGTCACGCCCGCCTTCGTTTTGATCACATCAATGTGGTACAAGCAGGGCGAACAAGCCCGGCGAGTCGGATACTGGCTGTCGTGCAACGGTTTCTCCCTGATCATCATGGCTCTGATAGGCTATGGATTATCGGCGGTTGAAGAATCGTCAATCGCGCCGTGGAAGATTCTGTTCCTGGTACTCGGTCTTATCACGGTTCTAACTGGAGCTTTCAACCTTTGGTATTTACCCGATAATCAGGCCAACGCCAAGTTCCTGGATGATCGACAACGCCTGATAGCGATTGAAAGAATTCGAGACAACTTCCAAGGCATCGGCAATCGGATATGGAAGTGGGGCCAGTTCCGGGAAGCGTTCCGCGACCCGAGAACCTATCTCTACGCCCTGTTTTCATTTCTGATGAATATACCCAACGGCGGCATTACGACATTTGGTTCAATCATCGTCAACTCCTTCGGCTTTAACGCCAGACTCTCACTCCTTTTGGGCGCTCCATCTGGACTCTTCGATATTGGTGGGAAACTCTTGTTCACCTGGCTTTCTGACAAGTACATGGATCGAACCCTTTTCGCATTCGTCGCAATCATGTTTCCTCTTATCGGAGGCATCATGATGATCACGATCCCATTGTCCTCAAAGGGAGCACTTCTCTTGGGCTACTGGATGATTAGTGTTTCTGGGTCCTCCTGGGGGTTGGTCATGGTTGCCATCTCGAATAATACTTTAGGATACACCAAGAAGGTCACTGTTAACAGTCTTCAAATTATTGCATATGCAGCTGGAAATTGGATTGGTCCACAGACCTTCCGGGCGGACGACGCTCCCCTCTACAAGCGAGGCAAGATGATGGTGGCCATTATGTATGGCTGTGCAGCGTTGGTGCTGGTGGTTCTCCGCTTCGTAAATATTCGGGAGAACAAACGAAGGGATCGTTTGGCGGCAGCATCAGGAGTTGAGTTGTCTGAGGAGACGGCAGCGCTGGAGCTTGAGCGGTCCAAATTCATGGACTTGACAGACTTCAAATTGGCTCACTTTCGCTACGTTCTTTGAGTCGGTCGGGTTTCACAAGCATCACCAGGTGCAAAAGCTGCACCTTTTCATTCTCAAAAGTGTCATAGCCATTGGTAAATTGAAATAGAATCATCAAGGCCGATCGGCATTTCGCACCTATTCTCAAACAGGCGGCCTTAGGCCTTTTCTACCCTCGTGCTAGCTGTCTTCTAACCCCCCGAACTTTTGATGACGAAGGAGACCGCTTTGGGAATTCCAAATCCGGACTAAACTCGATCTCAGTCTAAAGCCAGGCCGAAAGGGCAGAACGCTAGTCTGAGAGACTGAGACTGCGCTGTGATGGCTGAAATAGGTAACGCTATCGTGTTGCCGTAGCCGCGCTTCAAGCGACGGTCTGTTCTGGCATCATGCTCAGTGCGCCCACGTATGCTAAAATAGCTACTCAGTAATGTTCATGTCAACGTCAATGTCCTCATTTTCTTCGCTTCAGGACGTCATATATTCAATGGGCTGCTTTCTCTGCAGTAAACGCCGAAGGCTCGGCGTGGAGCCTAGTCAATCGGACTGGCAACGCCGAAACATTTGATTTGCTTTTGTCTTTTCGATGGAATCTTTCTTCCCTTATGGGAATCACTAACAACTGAAGGGATACTTATCAGAATTCGCTTCTTGTTGTCACGTCAATGCGCCTGCTGTGAAAAACATTCATCAATCCGTCAGTTGTAAGACGGGAAGCGAACTATCACAACCTGTGGGTAATTGGATAACGTGGATATTCCATCACGTTTCGAGCTTCACACATTGGACACCTGACGTTCCTTAAGCTGTGTTTGAGGTTGTAACTGGCACCTGCTATTCTCGGATCCTCGCAGGGGTTGCCATGATTCGACGCCCAGCTTGGGTGCAAATAAGCGATGCCACCCCATCCAACACGGTGGCAGTCTGAAACTTGACCATCCGGCTATACCGATCAGCCCTATATTCAGCTGTCTGCAGTGCATTAAACATTTGGTTCACCGCCTGTCATCTGAAAAAGTGAGCAAGAGTGCCCAAACAGTTGTGGAAAAGCAAGTTCAAAAGTGGGACGAAAACCTTCAATGACAGTAATCATATGTCCCTTCGTTTGTCGCATCATTGGTCCAGATTAGTGAGAAGTCAGCGACGAACACCTTGATGTAAACCCCGTGGATTCCAAGTGATCAATTCGATTCGCGTAGAAAACAAAATCGATTGATGTGCTGATCAGCAGAAACTGATCCGCCAATGCAGAAAGTCTGGAGGGGAGCATCAGTCGCTTACCAGTGTGACGCTGGCCCATGCGGGTAGTTAAGCATATTATTAACCACTTGATACCTTTGAAGCCCACTAACGTCGATCATACTCCTCAAAGCTGGGGACAGCTGAGACGTCTCATGGCTCCCACTCGTATCTCCACGCCACTCAGCAGTAAACACTCTCTGTTCCCTCAACGCCAGATATTGCCGTACACAGTGAGGAGGCCCAAAACTCTATATTACTTCCTCGCTGCCACCTCAACTAATGCCGATAATTGTCAATCATCCAGTCTTCTCACCTCGTTCACTCAACTTCTATTCTCATCCGTTGCCGGTCAACCATTTATACTTCAGTAATCTACTTTACCAATCCTCAGCCAAAATGCAGCTTTCCATCACTTCCCTCGTCATCACCCTCGCCGCTGTGGCCTCGCTTGCAGCTGCTGCTCCGGTATGACGCAGGCTCAACCTTTGACACGAAGTCGAGTACTAATATGAGACTGCAGCAACAAAATAACGCACGAGAGAACTTCAAGAACACCAAGTGCAAGAGCCAGGCATGCAAGGACTCTGTCGACTCTGGATGCCCTCTATCTTTCATTAACTTTGAGCTTGGTGGCTGTGACGATCCCAGCTTCTAAACGGTTCATGAAGCTGCGTAGCACAAGGAATGTCTCGTTTCAACTGCTGTCTAGCGAGACGTTAGGGGATGAATAAAGAACGTTGAAGTTGATAACTTGATGCTTCTGGTGTGCCCGGCCGCCGTGTTAATTAAACCTCAAAATGCATTTGTGACTTTCAGCCTCCCGGAACGACCAATAACTGTCGCCATGTGACATACTAGGCTACAGAACTTCACCTTGCCGACTGCCGTCGTCATTCCATTGGCCTATAATCAGGCGACACTCGCGTGCGGCTACCGAGCTTAATACGATTGGAGATTCAATGCGAAACCGGTCTTATCACGGCTATTTGCCATAGTTCCGGAATGAAATTCGATTGCTTCCTTTTCGACGATCATAGGTTCTTGGCATTTGACACTCAGCGGGAAAAGTTTTCAGCCACCTACGACAACACCACGCTCACCGGACACCGTCAGACCAGCCAGCATTTCTGAAGCCAGTGACGTTGTTGAGACACTTCCCAACAGTTAGGAAACTTCAACCGCGATTCTTCTAGCCCCGGTCGCGTCGAAAACGAGTGCAGGCCGCCAGGGCTAGCCGACGGTGGACCAAAATGCGGTTGCGCGGGAACGCGTGGGAAAAGTAAGCTTATCGCTCACGGACGCGCCTATTCTGGGCGCACGATCATGGAACCTGCCGAGCCCTTATTCAAATGAGCCAAGTCGCTCATTAGCGGGAGGCTTCAGCCGGCGCCGTGCCATCGGTGCGCAGCGCTATCCTTGAGGACACGAACAACAACAGCCAGGGTTCACGACCACGTTTTCGTGATCTAATGTGAGTTTCCGTGGGGCCAGACCATCCAAGTCAGCGACCTGCCGGCTTGGTGCCAGGCAAACCTTCTACCTCGAACTTTGGGCTGCATATCCCAATTTTTGGCGGGTTGCCACTGCAGGGGCACTGATGCTTTTTTTCTTCTTCCACCGGATTGTTTTCCGTTCGCCCATGTTCACGATGTGCGGTTCCGTGGCGGCGGTATGCATGTGCTCAAGGTAAGACGGCGGGGCCATGCGGTGTTTGCTTTTCCTCGTGGTTGCCGAGGCGCTACTCGGTCCCTTGCATCACACTTTGTTTTCTGGGAAGCAAGGAAATGATAAGCTGTGAGATTTTCATCATGGATATAATAAGGCCAGCGTAGTGTCCGAATTCTTAGGAACCTTTCAGACAGACAGGACAACAACTCCATCTTCACCTTCATTCTCACAATCAAGGGACATCATTTGATCACCCTGCTTCATTCTTTACATTTATCACATTCGTTCAATCAACACCCTCACTTCTATCAAGATGAAGTTCCTGGCCATTACCTCCCTCGCCGTCGCGGCCTCTGCCGCAGTTGTCGAGAACAAGTTCTGCAACGCCGACAACTGTCTTCGCGCCGTTAGAGCGACGCGTTTCGGAACTGCTACGATGGTCCTTCGTATGGCGGAATGTAGCTCATACCTTGCCGTCACTGAGACTCCCCAGCCATCGTAAGTTTCTTTTCTCATGTCACGTCAAGCAGTGCAGAGTTTCGACTAACAATGACAGCACCACGTTCGTCACCGAGACAAGCCTCGAGACCATCACGCTGAACGCTACACGGACAATCTTCGACCGTGCCGTTGATACCCCGGCCTCCACCACCAAGAACATTCCCGCCTACGCAACGGCTTGCAAGAACGACGCCGCATACCGCAGCGCTTGCTCTTGCTTTGGTGCCACCGGCGTAACGACAACGGCCCCTATCCCGATCATCACTTCCACCGTCTCTGTCGTCGCAACCACCACTGTTGGCCCCTTCGTCAACGCCACCCGCCCTGCCCTCGGCTGCAGCAACCCTTGGACCTGCGGTGACAAGACCATCCCCACATGCTCTCTCGACAAGGCTGGCGAGAAGGGATGCGTCTGCTTCAGGACTGTCGAGGGCAGAGATGTCTGCGCTGTCCCCAACGACTGCCAGCCCTCCTGCAACACCACGAACGACTGCTCTGGTGGTGAGGTCTGCATCAAGCAGAGCTGCTGCTTGGGCGGCACCTGCATGAAGGTCGACGTTTGCTTGAACCAGATTCTGCCCAAGATGATGTTCAAGAAGCGTGCCGGAGCCGGTGCTTGGGTCAAGAGGCAGGGCAAGTTCGACTTCTCGAAGCTCAGCTTGTTCCCTCACGATGCTAGCTTGGAGCAGTAGGAGTCGTCTGTTGATGACTTCACCTACTTTAGGGGAAGATGACCGTGGCGAGCTCTTTTGAATATGTAAATATGCGGATACCCTTCCAAACAGCAGACTTATAGACTTTTAAATATTTTCTATTGTTTAATTGCGACCTTCAATTTCAACGTGCAATGTCCATCCACCGTTTTCTGCGTTCTGTGACACGTACTCGCCCCCATCACATTCCCTTGTCCTTATCACATTCATTCCGCCAAGTCCGCGATGACTTCCTTCGCGCCCCTGATACCAGCTTGCACTGCTCCTTCCATATACCCTTTCCAGACCAAAGATGTCTCGGTTCCAATGAAATGGATGTGGTCTACGGGTTCACGCACAGCCTTTCCGGCGTCACTTGTCAAGACTCCTGGACCCATGACTGGGGACGGAGCTCCTCTCGCCCAGGGATCCTTTGTCCACTCCTTCTCTATGATTTTGATTGGTTCAGGGACACCGTCAACGAATGTACCGAACATGGTTCGGAATTGCTTGAGGACAGCCTCCCGGCGCTCTTCCGCCCGCAACTTAGACCACTGTCGTCCGGGCTCGGCGACGTGAAAGCAGGTGATGCTGTACTGCTGGTCATCAGGCACGCAGGTGTCCCTGCTGAAAACGATTGGCCCGGCCTCGGAGGCGATTGCGCCTGAAAACCCCGCATCTCGCCACCAAGGCTTCTCGAAAACCAAGATAGTCTTCGAGTAGTATCCTAGTTTGGACTTGCTTAGTGTCTCTTTCGTGGCGGGGAGGCTTGGCGTGAACTGGATCAACGGGTAGAGGGTTGACGGGACAGATAGAAGGACCTTCTTGCACCTGTACGCTGGGCCGGGGCTGGTTGAGACCATGCAGCCTTCATCCGATTGAGTAATCTTGGATACCGGCATTGAGAGCTTGACTGCCCCGGCGTTGAGACTTTGGGCAAGCCGGGTTGAGAATGTCTGATTTCCTAAAACCAACATTAGCTCGCACTAAACTTCCCGGAATACACTCGTATGACTTACCTTGGCGGTTTCGCAAGTACTGAGCACCGTCTTTGAGGTCTGAGGAGATGTTCTCCAGTCCCGTTCCAGCTTTTACGTAGTCGATGACAGGGAAAGCGCCAACTTCGCTGCTTTCAAGACCATGGCAAGCTTGGGACAGAACGTTCAAGACAACCGAACCAATGCCGCCTCTGATCTCCTTTTCTCCCAGCTCCGCGAGTGTGAGAGAGTCAATCCTCTTGGCATCGGGTCCTAGCCACGGCATCTCTGAATCAGAACGGTCCACGAGAACAGCTATCTGCCCAAAGGCCTCATATAGCTGCGCTTGTTGCCTGTCGTCCAGCTATAGGATTCAGGTCAGCCGTGTGCAAATATTTCGATGCAATAGCACCTTTTTTGCGAAATAACAGAGACATCTGCGACTTACTGGAAATGGCATGCCAGAGTAAGGAAATGAGATCGTCTTCTGGTTGCTGTCTTGGTACAGGTTCAACCCAGTGGCAGTTTGTTCGATGAGCTCAAAGCCAAACTCCTTAGCCAAGCGGTACATTTCAGCCTGGCTGGTGTCGTTGATCCACGCAGCGCCTATATCGACAACACCGCCCTGAGGAGAAGCTGGGACTGACAATGTCTTGCCGCCGACGCGGTCCATGGCCTCCAAAACCACGTACGATAGACCGCTCTTGTGAATGTCAACGGCGGCACGAAGGCCACTGAGACCTGCACCCACGATGACGACGTCCACATCAACAGGCTGAATAGGTGTAGAGGACATTTCGGCCATCTTTTTGGGAGGATAGCAAGTGGGAGAGAACGTTGAATGAAGACCCTTTGAGTTGCAACGACTTTGCTTATCGAAACCCATTGATTTTAGTGACGAAGCCGCCGTCATTAAATAGTGTTCCTCGTCAAAGTCATCTTGGAGCCACATCTCAGCATTTACCTCCGTTTCTCAAAGCCATAGGCCTAGGTCATGGAGTCCGCGGACTTCCTTCATGATGGGACGAAACTGTGTTCCGCGGCCGTCTTGCTGATGCGCGGAACAAATCCGCCAACGCGCCCTTAGAACATGGCGCCAAGATACGCCGCTGATAAGTGTAAGCACGTCGTTTATCGCAGAGATTCGGACGAGCCGCAAATAAGCACTACTTACATAGGCCTTGGCGAGCCAATCTTCCGTACACCGTCATGCTACACCGTAGAAGCGGGACCTCAGGCGCCGTAGTCGGCCCCACTTCAAGCCCGGTGCCGGGACATGGATCGGGTGCCGCGGCCTGCGGGGCGCATGCTTATCTCTCTTCAACGCACGTGCAGTTCGAATACCGGGTGCCGAGAAATCCGCGTCCTAGCTTCAATGGGCATGGCATTTGGTTCTTGTTCTTACGCATCACTTTGCGTCATTTTCTTGATGGCAGCGCTTTAGTCTCTTTAGTCTCACTTACCACGGCCTAATCATTTTTGCTCTAGTTCACATACTACCTACCATAAACCGACCAGATTGAACATGTATCCGTACTTATCCAGATGCCACTCGCTCCTCCATTTGGCCAATATGAATCACACGCAACTCACTCTGTATCAACAGTCCCTTTTGGTTAACAGAAGATGTCCAACATTTCTCCGTTCCCCGAGTGCATTTTCCTAATGCTGTCGTGGTATCTGCATCAAATCTTTGGTCAAGCTGCTTGGTATTGTTCTACAGTATAATGCAGCGACACCGATAACATCGTACAGTATACATAAAAGGTTATTACATACAGGTGGATTAGTCTTCATTCAGCTACGGAAAATCATCCTAGCTGCGTCCTGTTTCTTTTCACAAAATAGAATCATACAACCACTTCAACGTGTGTACGCACTGAAAGAGCTTCCCGAGCTCAAAGACCCCTTCTTCGTATCCTCAACACGTCATCTTCACGCCACTAGGGCACCGGCGATGGGAGGCGCTGCTGCTGCTGCGGGCTCAGCGGGAGCGGCAGGTGCAGCAGGAGCGGCGGGTTCGGCAGGAGCAGCGGGAGCAGCTGGGGCGGCAGCGGGAGCTTCGGCAGGAGGCGCGGCCGGAGCGGCAGCCGGGGGAGGGCCACCACCGCCACCGCCAGCACCCTGTGCCGGTGCCGGGACAAAGGCGGCGTTTGCGAGAGGGATTTGACCAACAGCTCCGCCGACAACTGTCTTTCCGTCGACGTTAGCCTTGGCGGCTGCTGCGAGTTTCGAGTACTGAACGACTTGTTGCGCGTTTGTGCTAATTCATGGTTAGTTTTCATGTGATACTAATTCGAGATGAACGATACTCACGGGTTGATGACCAGCACCTGGCCCTCTTGACAGTGAGGCCCCGTGGCGCAGTACATGAACATCGTGGCGGTACTCGTAATCGGCATGTTGAACGTTCCAACCATCGCCTGACCGTCCTTGAAAGGAATGTGTCCGCTGTGGATGGCGGTAGGCACCGTATCCTGCAGCGGCTGGCATGCTGCGCCCTCCGCACTCTGCGTGACCGTGTGGTTGCCGTTGCTAAACTGGAACTGTACGACATCGCCGACCTGCGCCGTGATCAAGTTCGGTACGAAAGTATCCTGCGCTCCGCCGACCACCACCGGGATGAGTTGATTGCCTTGAGGAGTAGCCGGTGCAGCCGGTGCCGCTTGTCGCCTGACTGTGTGAAGTTGTCAGCTTTAGTTCTTCGTATCACATCCTGTGTTTCTTACTTCTGAAGGGCCGGTGAGGAACACCTCCCACCACAGTTCCATCAGGCGGGAAAGGATCTCTCTTGTTCAGCGGCTGCGGCATCGCGCTGACGGTGGCCGCTGCCATCAAGGCCCAAGCTGAAAGAACCCTCATATTGAAGCCGATCGCGGATCGAGTAAGAATCGAAGGGAAAGTCCGAAGGAATGACTGAAGTGAACACTGCTCAGCAGTGACTCGCGCCTGGCTGATTAAAAAAAGGGTAAATGACAGTAAATGCCGATCAAGAAAGAAAATCTCACGGCTTGTCCTCACTAGGAGGGACGGGATGAAGAGAAAGGAGTGAAGATGGAGACACAGGATGGTCAAGACCCAGATTCAAGTAACTCTAAATTTTGAATTATATTAGCTGCGGCGGAGGGCGCATATTTGCATCCGAAAAAAGCGCGAAAGCCAAGACTCAAGAAGCCTTTTCCCGGGTTGACTAATGACTGATGAAATCCAATGCCGACACAGGGGGATGCCCGAGTGGAGGTTCTCCGGTGTCTCCTCGCAGACGTACTGCAGAGTCAAGACAACGAAAGACGAACTCCTCCTCAACCCTCCCTCGCGCCAGATGGTTCAGGCTCGGCGTCATTGAGGCTCGTGCTGCCAAGATGTCTGATGATGTTCCGTGATGGTTTGAGGCTCTACTGGACGATTCCTCTTCGGGCAGTCGGAACCTCGCAGGGTGGGTGGCGATCTAGCGGGAGATCATGTCGATTGGATCGTCGCCGTCCCTTCTCTCCACCGAGGATCATGGGATGGCGTAAGTCTGCGTTTCCGAGTTGAGATGTCAGTGGGGCCGAAGTGGGCGGACGGATCCCGACGAGGAGAACTCTCGCGCGCTTCTGGCGTTTCAAGTCGCCTTCAGGTGGTCTTTTTCGGCTTATGTGACGGGCCCCTTCTCCCAAGAAGCCCAAGAAATACCAAGGAGCACATGGTTTTGGGCTGTTCTGGGGGGAGGGGATCCACCACCGAGACTGCGACGGCTTGTCAGTAGCAATGTCATGACATGATGACAGGCCTTGACAGCGCTCTCGTTCGGACTGTGCAGTCGGCACCTGCGTTCGGCAGGGCGCCAAGAGGCTTGAACTGTCCGCTTAGTCAGTCTTATTGGGTTGACGGCTGAAACGACTGCCCAGGATTGAGACGAAAGAGGACAATGAATCCATGCTTCGGTAACGTTCCGTAGCGCGCGGGCGCGTTCGACCACAATAAATGCTCCGCTGCCCTCGCCAAAAGTTGGGGGCTTCGCCAAAAGTTGAAAAACATCGA